GGGTTCTGTTCTTCCCTGGCGGCTTCGCGAGCTGATATCCGAGCTGCAGCTGTGGTACAGCCCACAACAATCAAACCTCTGACGATCACGTGGATGGTCCCCCAAATTGGTCTCTCTTCCGGGGGCTGCCTCTGCGGTTGCTCTGCCTACCTGCTGGATTCGGGAGCATCTCTATTCTGGTCCCCCTGCCAACCTGCTTTATTATTATTATTATTTTGTACAAAATTTATCAAGTACCCACGATGGATGAGCTCCTCTATCTCCTCGTGGAGGTTTTTACAATTTTCGGTGCTATGACCGTGGTCTTTGTGGAAACTACAATACAAATTTTTATTCCTTACACTAGGATCAGCCTTCAGTCGAGGTGGCCACTTCACATACGGGGCGTCCTTGATTGCCATAAGAATCTCGGCCTGCTTCGTGTTTAGGGGCATGTAGTTTGCCCTTTTTGCTGTTGGAGCTCAGAAAGGCTGATTCGGCCTTGCCCCCCGAGCTTGGTCCTTCTTCTTCTTGCTATCACCCTGAGTTGAGGGCTTTGTTTCTCTTTTCCTTTTCTCGAGGGCCTGCTCACCCTTCTGGTTGATCTCTTCCTCCGTCCCTATAAACCGATTCGCGAGCTTGAGGAACTTGGTCACGGTCTTGGGCTGATTAACAACCACGTGCCACTTGAATTCTTTATGGGTAATGCCTCGCTTGGCCGTGGTGAGACGAACTGCAGGGTCCATATCGGGTATTTGTAAACAAGCGTCATTGAACCACTTGATGTCACTCCGAATGGACTCCCCTTCCTTCTGAACTATGCCAAGGAGGCTTTCTTGAGTTCTTGGGCATTTCTTGCTGGTGAGAAAATGAGAGGTGAAGACTTGCACAAACTGCGCCTAGCTTCTTATCGATCCGAGCGTGAGATTTCGGTACCATGTGCGGGCCACTCCTTTGAAGGTGGTGGAGAAGGCCACACACATACAGGATTCACTGGCTCTTGCCAGGTGCATCTGAGACTGAAAGACATCCACATGATCATTCGGATCGAAGGATCCATCATACTTATCCAGGGGAGGGAGCTTGAAGTCCTTTGGCATAGGGACAGCAAGAAGTTCTGGCAACAGAGGGGAAGGAACTGAAAGGATAGGAGTAGCTTTTACTTCGTCTGAGCTTACCTCCTCCTTACCCCTGAGCTTAGGCAAGACGCGAGTAGCAGTTCGGCGAGCTCGTCAGCACCTCTGCTGCTGCTTCGTCGGCTCAGCGTTGGTGCTGCTTGCTTCAGTATTACCGATCTCAACCGGCTCGGACTACTGATGATAGCTCTGAACCAAAGGGCCCTACCTATAGTCTGCGGCTAGGACCTCAAACTAGTTTTCTGCGAGCGGGAGCTCGAACTGAGAGTGCTGAGGTGATGCGGGCTTGACCAAATGGGAGGCCCCCGACCTGCCCATAGGTTGCGAGGCGGGGGTGGCTTGTCTCTCCTTCCTACCATGGGACGAGGCTTGGCTTTTGGAAGGATTCTGGGCTTGAGAGGCCTCTCCCTGGCGAGGACGCTCGCTCCGACGGGAGGGCTTGGCTTGCTTCATGGCTGGGTGCCGAGGGGGAAGCGGCTGCTAGGTTTGAGGCAATGAAGGGAACTATTGTTGGTACTGGTACTGAGAAACTTGATGCAGCACTTGCTGCTGGTAGAGTTGAAACTGTTGGAACTGTTGCATTTGAGCTTGCATAGCTCACATGCACTGTACTAGGTCTTCCAACTAGTTTTGGTTGGTCACTGGGGGAACAACAGAAGGCTCAGCGAAGGTCGCTCCAACCGTGGAAGGGAGTGGAGTGTTCACGGGTGCCCTTGTGAGAGGCACGTTCAAGTTGGGAATTCCGTCTATAGAGAGGGGGACGATGAACTATCCAATACAGAAAGTGGGAAGCAGGGGTTGCTCCCCAGAAGCGTTCTGGTCGGCACCACGTCCGGCATTGCTGGAGGAAGCCATGAATGCAGAGTTCTTAGAGAGAGTTGCAGAGATTAGAGGAAGGCTTTTTGAAGCGCTCCCACAGACGACACCAAATGGTGCTGCGCAATCCGGACACTCCTAGTTGGCAGTCGATTGGCTCCTAGCTGGCGACGGACAGTACCTGAGAAGAAGACGGTGAAGGATTCCTGAGGGACTTGCCCGGTGGAAATATTTCGATGCTTAAGTTAGAACACTTGAGAGAGTAGTAAGGAGTGCAACGAGAGCTAAGAGTGCAGGTAGCGCTAGATCAATGAAAGTTCAAGATTAACTCCAGATCCATTTTCCCCTTCGACCATGGGGCTCTTAAATATGGGTGTTCTTGTCAAATCGGGCGTAACCGCCACTGGACCCCTGTCGCAGCCGTTATTTTTCTAGGGCTGCGCAGGTAACCGTTGCAGAGTACTATCCAATTGGATGAGTGACACGACCCGGAAAGGACAGACACGCCACCACCTGTCGAGAGACGTGGGTGCAGTCTGCCGGGCTGGCAGGGACTGCGCCGTCAGTCAGGAGACGTGGTGCAATCTGACGGGTACGGTCTTGTCAGATAAGAAGGTTCCTGAAAACGTCGCGTCGCTTAGTAGCGAGCTGCCTTGTAGCGAGCTATCTCGTAACGAGCTGCCTTGTAGCGAGCTCCTAGAGGTACTTCGAGGTGATTCTGCCTAAGGTCGCCTTTGGGGCAGTTCTCCTGCCTATGTATTGGAGCGAGCTGGTTATCCCAGCTTGTGAGCTGGGATAGACTTGTCTTGGAGTATTCCCTTTCAGTATACTGGGGTTCTCGAGCTCACGCTGTAGCGAGCACAATTTGTGGCGAGTTGTAATGTAGCGAGCTGTCCTGCGAGCTCGTTACTCAGTCGCAGCCAGGCTGTTGCACTGAGATGTTGCTTATGTTGAGTCACGTCCAGGTGTCACCTTCTCAGGAGGTCGGGTCAAATCACCCTCCATCATTACTCATGCAAAAATTACTTAATAATAATGAAAAATACCAACAATTAATTAAAAATCTAGAAAATTCTGAAAAACCTAAACATGATTAAAAATATTGAAAATTAGCAATATTTTTTATTAATAAGGGTATTTACCTAAAATAATTAAAAAGTACAGTTAAAATTATTTTATTATTAATTTATTAAAAAATACCCAAGCCGATAATTATTGAAAAATATTAAAAATTAGTTGTATTTTTTATTAACTATGGTATTTATTTAGTTATTTAATTTATTTTTACTAAAAGCAAATGCAAATTAATTTTGTAGTGACTAATATGTAAAAATAAATGTTGAAAATTTTGAAAATTATAAAAAAAATACTCATATGAAAAAATTACTAAACAATAATGAAAAAACACCAAAAATTAATTAAAAATATGAAAATTCTGAAAAACCTAAAGCTTAATTAAAATACTAAAAATAATTAAAAAATCAAATTAATTGTACTTTATTGTAAAGAATACTGAATAATAATGAAAAAATAATGTATTTTAATTATTAATAGTAATATAATTAAAAATAATTATTTTTAAAATGTAATTAACATTAATTATAATTTAATCTATAGTAGAAAATTACATTTAATTACCAAAAAGTTATATTTAATTACAAGAAAATTACATTTAATTAGTTTTAGCCAAGAAATTAGCAATATTTATGAAAATATGATAATTTCCAGAAATTACTTTATTTTAAATAAATGCAATCATTTTATAATTGACACGGACCTCTTTATAAACAGGAAATGTGCAAACCCGAGCCTGACCCAACCATTGGACCTAGATCTTGAGCCCGGGCCCAGCCCTTATATAAAGCCCGAAGCCCGATCTGTACACAAAATATCTTATTGCCAGTATACTTTTATAAACTAATGTTATATTACTTTAGTAATAATTTAATAAATTAATAAAGTAATTTATATTTCCTAATAGTAAATTGATATTTATTAATAATTTAAGATATATATATATATATATATATATATATATCATAAGTACTTTTTTATATATGTAATAGTATTGGGCTAGGCTTGGGCCTGGGCCTAGCTTATTTGAGAAAGCTCGAGCCCGAGCCCACGAGCCCACGAGCCTGAAATTTTGTCTAAGCCTGAAAAATAACGGGTCAGGCCAGGCCGGAACATCAGGCTACCCGGTCCATGAATAGGTCTAATTGTATATATAAACAATTGTATACATAAAAAATCGTATTGAATAAAGATTTAAACATCTTTTTCATTTTTTTTAAATGGACCTTTCATAGCTTGGCTCACTCTGTGACCTGGCCTGACCCAAGGCTCGGCCCATGGACCAACCCATCCCACAACACAGCATGAGCCCATACAGGCTCGAGCCGTGGGCCGTGCCAAACCGACCCCCCAAATTATCTTAGGGGAGGGAGGCATGGCCTGGGACGCCCCATGGACCAGTATGACATGGCTTGCACTTTGTGTGGGCACATGCGGGTCATGTCATGCTGGCCCAGCACAACCCAATTTTCACCTCTACAGTCTCAAATATTCCTTTAGGAGACACCACTAGAACACCATATATAGCTTTTTAAGAATTTGATTTGAAGACTATGTATACTTAAGTTCGTATTCTTCTTGTCCCAGATTCATAGGCATCAAGTGAACCCTACAAAGTTTTTTATTCTAAGTATGACAATCACTGGGTTTACTTTGCCCCAACAGCATAGTCTGTTTTGACATCTGGAAAGAGATAATGAAAACCTAAGAGAATCCCACTTTATTAATTAACAATACACAAAAGGGAGGTACATTCAAAACACAAGAACAAGTTAGCCTAATAATTAGTTAAGACAGGAGTCTCTATAAACTACAAAGCCCTTAAATGTAGCATACATAACTGAGATGAGCTTATTCATAGTAAGATAACATGGTATCAGAGCTTGCTGATGAGAACTACTAGCTTGTTAGAGATGGATTGCTCCGGCTCCAATGAGCAAATTCCTCAGAGTTGGAGAGATGTTAAGTTGATGGATCATAACCTCCCTGGCTCCACCAACCAGTCTACCACCAATGAACACAGCAGGTACAGATGGGTTACATCCTAGCTTCAGGAGAGCTCTCTCTATTTCCCTTCCTCGTGGGTCCAAATCAAGCTCATAAATGGCGGGGTTGACCCCATAGTCATAGAAGAGAGTCTTGACAGTGTGGCACATGCAACAAGAGCTCTGACTGAAGATTACCACTGGCGCCTCTGAAGCTAATGCCAGCACTCGATCCATTGATGAGACCACAACTCAAGAAGACTCCTTCACTATCTTTTTCACTAGAATATTGAAGATTAAGTCAATGTGGTAGAAACTTGAGGAAATTAATCTAAGTTTTGGACAGAAAAGTATGGGAGAAATGTGGGAGAGCAAGCTGATGAGAATGAACTGAGGAAGCTTGTGAATTTACTTGGAGTACTACTCTGTGATGAACTTGAGCTGCCATGGAGACCTATTTATACAAGGGTGGTGGCCTGCACTGTTTAAAGGGGAAGCTCTGTAAGCGAGAATGTTCTTTAAGATATTTACTCTTGATCATTACCTGTTAAGGACCACTCTTTGTCTCACTATTCAGCGAATAATAAGCTGCACGTTGACAAATCTATATTCATGGAAACAGAAATATGGCCAATGGTAGGGCTGCACGTTTTGGAATGACAAAGCTGTCCTTAGTTTAGAATAGCTAATTTAGCTGGAATATGCATATAAATAAAGGGATTGATTGAGGGCACTTTTGATAAATGAAAACTGCTTTTTCTTTATTTAGGATTTTCTGCTATAGCTATCTTGGAGAATCTTCTGAGCTGGGGAGAGGGTTTGGGTTTATCCATTGCAGAGGAGCTTTTCAAGTAACAAGATTCCCATGAGGAAAAAATAGAAAAGAAGGTATGAAATCTACTTGAAAATGTTAATAAGCTCCATGAATTTCCTCCCATATATAGATTCCCTAGGGAAGACAAAGTAATGTGTGATCACTGTGCAAACAGTGCAAAATTAAGATTTTGATTTATTAGAATGATGATCAGATGAATACCCTCCCACCATGAAAGCCCCTTCTCTTCTAACATTCAGGTTTCTCATGGTTTAACCAGCCACCAATACATACTACACACTAGAGAATGTAATGGGCCAAATCTGGAGCAGTCCAACTTGGTTTGGGTTCAGATCTGAAATGCTTTAGATCTTACCAGATGTGTTGATGATCTGGCTGGATCCAGCAAGCAGAATCCAATTCCTATATTTGATACTTAAAACATATAAAGATGTACATAAATAAAAGAGATCAGACTAGAGAGGTTTGTTCTATTTCCCTCCAATGTGAATAAAGCCCTAATAACTAATTAAATGGACAAATATATATCAATATGTAAAACATTATAATTTTATAAAGGCTTTGAGATCCAAATGGATCTCACATCCAAGCTCATATCCAAGTTGGATCTGAATATGATCCATCGAAGTAAACCTGTCCAACCCATTCTTGAATTCATGTCATTTTAGCAACCCAAACCCGCAAAATATGGATACAATATAGGGATGGATTTTGGGCCAACCCGTTCAATTACATCTTCTGTACTACATCCATTGAAACTTAAAATATTGATTAGTTTTCTATGTCAACACTCAAATATTTGTGGTAGTAATTGATATATTATAAATAAATCTAGTACATTCTAGGATCAAAAAAAGAAAAAAAATCTAGTACATTCCACTTTTTGTATTGAATAAGGATTCTAATTCACTTCGGCCTGTTTGGGTGCCACTTGAAATATGGAACATTTTATTTCATTTTCCTGGTAGCATGAATCATTTCAGTCCATGCCAGAGTCACCAAAAATGGCTTGACTCATTTTTTATAATAAACCCATTTTATTTTGTACTAATAAGTTAATTTTAAATAATTTTGTTATTATTTTGTAATAAATCCATTTTAGATCCATGGTTTTATACATTTTCATGGCAGCCAAACAAAGTATTAGTTCATCTCCATTGACCATGGTCACACGTCACATGTACAGTGAATGCACAAAAAGGGAAAGGGTCACACGGATCGATGCCATGCATGAGATCCACTACCTTATATGGTTCTCAACGTAACTTTAAAAATTCTTCACTAATTAAATACTGTTTATCCAAATTCAAATATTTAAGTATCAAGACATTTCACGTCATGCTCTTCCCTCAACTTAAACCCATTCGGAAATGCTCTTTGATCCAGGCCATTCAATCTAAATTCTATCAAATCTGACTCTGGCTGGCTGTATTAGTTACATTCTATTTTCTATTCCAAATCTATATAATAATTGACAGATGGATAAGCATTCAATAAATCTGGTTCTACCATGAATTCAGTGCTTCTGCTAGAATTAGTGGAGAATCTTTTCAATCTGCAAATAGCTGATCTTATTAAGAGATTTCCTGGAACAAAAGAAGAAAAGAAAAAAAAAAACAGCTTGATTAGATGCCTCTGATCATCAAAATGTAAATAGATATTTTTCAAAAGAGTGGTATCCTTGTTTTTGGCCATTCAAAAACAATCAAAATTTGGCTTGATTTGGCCTCAAAATCTTTATGATGGGACTTTCAAATTATAAAGTTTATTTTATTAATACTTTAATAGCATTCATTGAATATACAACATTTATTGTTTGTATTATTTCAAATATTTATAGTAGTATTGGGGACTTCTAACAAACTAAATACAATTTTCTCAACCCATTATTATAAAAATTTTCTGAAAATCCAATATCATCAGTTTGATATTATCTAATATTCGATGAGTATTTTACTTTTTTTCGTTTTTTTTCTTTTTTTTTTGGGGGGGGGGCTTCTTATCACCAATTAGAATCTAGGGTATCAACGCATCTCTTTTTTTCTTTGTTTGATGACAATAACATCAAAATTATGCTATATTTGTTGTTTGATCATAATAGAGATGTAATGATGTCATGTGGGCTAAGCCAGTCCATTTTTTTGTACTGGTGTAATGATGTCATATATATGGGTCATTCTTTACCATACCGACCCATTTCATTGTACTGCACCATGCCAGCTCACAGGCCTCAAAACCCAAGCCCAGCACAACCAGGGTATGGGCCGGGCCATGACACTGCCCGATTGCTACAGCGACCAATCCATGTCATAACAAAATATCATATGATAATTCTACGTGCCCAAGGATTCGCCAGCATGCTTTTGCCCAAACAAATTCTGAAAGGCCAATTTGTACTCAAGAGGTCAGGTTAGATACGGATGTGGCCCACCCCAACCCAATCTAACCCTATAGGGTCACAGTCAAGAGATTTACATTATAACACAATATGACCAAAATACCTTAGCACAAGCAACATCCAACCACCATGTTGATATACTAAGTGATGCATGGGTAAGCTCTATATTGGTTTAACTCAGCCTAACCTATTGTGGATCAGGTATACTTGGGGGCATTTTACAATGTGAATTGTTTTTCTTGTTGTCGATTTTAAAAGTAAATCAAAACAATTTTGTTTAGAAACATATTTTTTTTAAAACGAAAATATAAGAAACATGTTTTTAGTTTTCAAAACCGAAACAAAAAATATGTTTCTAAATCTGGTTTCAAGAACATATTTTCATCTTATTATTCAATATCATGTTCTACAAATCATATAATTCCTATACTAAAAGAATTGTTTTCGTTTTAAAAACCAATATTTTCTTGGTTTCAAAAACATATATTATTTTTCAAAACAAAAAACCAACATATTTTTCACTTTAAAAACAAAAACAGAATTCAAGAACATGTTGTTGTTTATTGGCTGATGTAGCGATTCCAAAAGCAAATGAAAACAAAAATATTCATGTTGTAGAACCCCCTAATTGCCCGACTCATTGACAACCCAATGTTAACTATCAATGCATGCATGAACAACAGTCCCCATTAAATTCAGATATACATGCGTGCATGCATGCATCAGAGAAACATGCTCTGTATCAGATGAGTGCAAGCTCAAATAATCCACCAAACAAACAGGTGAAATTCACATATGAAGGCATGTCTGACTGTTAAATACATGCATATGTGTCATACATAAGCAACTAGATGATAAAGGAGATATGTAAGTGTTGGTTTCAACTTTATAATTAGATTACATATGTTCATGAGGTAAAAGAAAGAATGCAGACACGGATCGTGGCATCACAGATTAGCTAGGGTTTCAGGTAAAGTTTGGTACATCTCTCTCTCTTTTATTGTTTTCAGGAAAATGACCCTTCTATGGCCCCAGTCTTTCATCCCTTCTTTTGGTCCTTCACAGTTGTACGAGCTAACTTAGAGAAGTCTCCATCTCAGATTCTTCAGTCCGGTACAGGGCTAAAGGCATCTATCTTATGCGCTATTGCTTTCTTCTTCCGCGTTGTTCCCATAATCCTTCTTCCATATGTTTCAATCATCAATCACCTACGCGGTTCTCTCTCTCTCTCTCTATATATATATATATGAGATGTAGGCATCGGATCAGCATACGTGTCTCACATCTATACACTTCCCCACAGAAAAGAGAGAAAAGGAAGGAAAGAGAAAATCAATTCTAACAGTGTTTTGTAGTGTAATTTCATTTGCCCTGGTATAAAAGTACTAAATGCATTTAAGTTGATTTTCTTTTGCATTTGGTTTTGTTTTATTTTGTTTGTTTACAAGTTGGATGAAGTAAAATAAAAGTTGAAGCAACAGTACTGTTCCAGAATACTGCAAATGGAATTGCAGTGCAAATAATAGGAGCCAAGGGATCCCAGCTGGCCAAGTCCTTCTCAACAGGAAACATTGGAACCACACCGAACCCACTTCAGAATTCACATTCTCCATCTGCTTGATATTGTCATCAACATGGTACATGGATGGAGATGGAGCAGCATAGTTAATTATTTAGGCTTAATTTGAAAAGAATATAAATACAAATATTTATTGTATAAATACATACAAAATACAGGGTTTTGCACTCTAGATATTTGTATTTATACATCTTCCAAACTGAGCCTTAGTATCTGAACCCAGGGAACTTGCATTTCTCCTTTGCTCAATACTGTCATTTGCTTATTGTCTATGAATGCAATATAGGGGAGATAAGTTGACCAACGGATAGTCCACAGGAATGACGGATGAGATATGATCAGCCCAAAAGGATTAGACCAAATGAATTAACAACCATCAATTTAATTGAGCAAGAACCATTAATGTGAACATCTAAGGCATTTCTCTGTTGCACTAGGAATGAAACAAAGAAATCAGTTGTTTTGTTTTCCATTAATTGGATTGAATTCACACCAAGCATTCCCTAAACAAACTTGGTTTGCCTAAAATCATGAGTAGAGCAATTAAGTGTATGTGTTCGTTGGATATCTTAAAAAATTTAGGTTGTGTTTGTTTGT